TATACGCTTCTAATAGCCATGCTGAAAGTAAGGACTTCTGGACTAACATCAAGCACTTAGCTCCCAACCAGGATGTTCCCTGGGTCCTTATTGGTGACTTTAATTGTTGTAGATATGCCTCGGAGAAGTATGGGGGCTCGGCTATCTCTCCCAGACAACTTGTTGATCTTATCTCCATGGTTTTTAAAAATAACCTTCAGGATATTCAATCGGTGGGATGCTCCTTCAGTTGGTTTAACCAACAAAACCAATAAACTGAGAATCCAATTCACATCAAATTAGATAGGGTTCTCATTAATAATGCTTGGCTGCTTGCGCACCCCACCTATTTCAGCTCTACTCAGAGTCCTTCTTGCTTGGATCACTATCCTCTCATCTTGCATTCGGGTATTGTATCTCCCTCCAAACACAGGTTTCTTTTTAAAAACTATTGGACTGATGTTGATAAATATTGGGATATTCTTCTTAATGCTTTCACTGCTACTACCTTTGGAAATCCATTGTCTTTTCTCTGTCACACTCTTAAGCAGATCAAATCAGCGATTAAGCGTGAACCTTGAGCTCACTCCATTTTGGTTAAGGTCCATCTTGATAATTTGCACTCTAAACAATTGGATTGTCTGGAGAAGATTCAAGCTTGTCCAAATGATCACATCTTAAGCAACAATCTAAAGGCTATATCTACCAACATCTTGGACTTTACCAAGATTCTTGTTTCATGGACTATTCAAAGAGCCAAAGTCAAATGGCTCAAGTTGGGGGAAGAAGACTTGAAATTTCTCTATTCAAGGATCAAACTTAGGCAAAGCAAGAGCAAAGTCGTTATTAATTTGCTCTCTACTTCTCCAAATATTGATAGGAATGATGTGATTAATTCTATCGTGCAACACTTTCAAACTATTTATAATCCACCTCCTCCCTCTTTATTTGATGTGAATTTATTTCCTATTGGCTCGGTCTTCCCTACTTCACAATGCAATTTTATTACTAATCTTGTTTCTGATGAAGAGATTAAAAAAACAGTTTTTATGGGATCTTCCTGCTCCTCCCCGGGTCCAGATGGTTTCAACTTTCACTTTTATAAAACAGGCTGGCATATTATGGGACCTCTTGTTTGCAAGCAGTGAGGTCTTTCTTTCTTAAGAGATATCTCCCATCCGATATTAAAGCCACTGCTTTGGTCCTTATTCCTAAGCACAACAATGCTGAATCTCTTGCAAATTTCTGTCTCATTGCTTTATGCAATACTCTATACAAAATCATTTCTAAAGTGCTTGCAAATAGAATCAAGAACATTATGCCTAAGATTGTGAAATACAATCAATCGGGATTCATAAAGGCAAGAGTCTCCACTGATAACATTCTACTGGATTAGGGGGGGGCAATAATACCTAAAGCTGTTACCAAATTCTTCAAGAAAATCGGCTCCAAGTTTCTATTTTTTGGAGATTTAGAAGTGGGGAAGAAATTACATATGATATCTTGGGAAGAAGTTTGTAAACCAAAAGAATTCAGGGGCTTAGGTATTCCCTCTATCTAGACTCTTTAATATGCTTACAATTGCTCAGTCATTCTCAGAATGTATAATTGTGTTTCTCCTTTTTCTGAATGGCTCATTTATAATACAATTCTCCTTGGAGGCCAACCCCTAGCTTTGCATCTGGCTTTTGGAAATTGGTATGTAAAACTGCAGCTGGTGCCAAACTTAACTTCACTTTCATATTACATGAAAAAGCTCTTATTTCCCTACATTGGGATCACTGGCTTAAGAAGACTTGTATTGGAGATTTTCCTTTGGGTTACTTATGGCTGAATTCCACTCATCACTATGAGTTGTTCAGTACTTTTATTTTAAATGGTTCTTGGGTTATTCCTGAAAACTTGCCTATATCTATCAAAAATGAAATTTTGGCTACTCCCATCATAGACAGTAACTCTGACTGTCTTCTACGGGATAAACGGGTCAAAGGTGTTGAAAATCTATTTTTTTCATGGCTTATGTTTTGATGATTGACAAACACTACTTCTCTTGGACTACTTGTTGCTTCTAACTTTTCAGGAATCGAAGACCGGACGATCATGAAGAAGCCAAGTTCAAGATTGCGTAGGTTTATTTCAAAAGGCAAGCACAGCATCTTTGGTAGCTTTGTTTTAGACTATTACAGCCAGCTGCCCACTTGAAACTAGTTTTATTTTATTTGGCATCAACATAATTCTCTGAGAATCTCTTCTTATGTGTGGCTTGCTCTTGCTGGGGGCTTGAAAACTGCAAATGCACTGAATAGAAGGAACATTCATGTCCCAGATATTTGCAACTTATGTAATGAGCAATTGGAAAGTGTTAACCATTTATTTTTTGAATGTCACTACTCTTTTGCCGTGATCAATAGCATTATCCCTGCGTCTAGATCTCTGCTGCTTAGACCTTCTTTACTGCATTTTTTTGAGTGGCTAGAAACAGAATACAGTAGCCAATCTAAACTCAAAAATCTTTACTTCCTTTTTGCGAGCTGCTCTCTTTACTTTATTTGGAAAGAAAGAAACTCTAAAAGATTTGGTAGCTCTTCTAACTGCAGTTTTACCACCTCAACCATCATTAAAAGTGTTGTTTTTGATAAAATTGCAAAATGGAAAGCGGTTTCTACATTACTTTGCAATTTATAATGTCTTGCTATGCTGGAACTTCCTTCCTGCATTTGTTTTTGCTGTGCTATCCCCAGTTGAGTTCTGCGCTGAGAACTCTCTCTTTACTGGATATGTTCAATGATGGTATTGGTGGACCGAAATTATGTTGAGGATGTATTATATATGGGCTTTCTTCTGGAGCATTCCCTTGGAGACCCTTTTGGTGTTATTCTAAAACAGCAGCTTCCTCAAAGCCATAGCATATTGGTGGACCGAAATTATGTTGAGGATGTATTATATATGGGCTTTCTTCTGGAGCATTTGTTTTTGCTGTGCTATCCCCTTGGACAATGATGAATTTTCAAGTTTATTTATCCCCTTGGAAGGCCATTCTTGGCAACCAGGGGAAAGTCGCTTATTGCAGAACTCAAAGATGAAAGGAATTATTCGGTCTCTGAGTCCTATTGTGCTATGGCTTCGTTTGTCTTTTTGCAGGTTCACCGGAGCTGAAGATGATCATTCGAAATTTTGGATGTAATAGGAATTTTTGAGTAGTTTTGTTGCTATGTAAGCTTGCTCCTTTTTGTTTTAGGAGCATTTTTTTCTTCATAGCTTTTTGTTTTACATTTTACATGTAGCTGCATTTACTTTTTAGCATTTTAATATACGGGTCAAGCCCAAATTTTCCCCAAAAAAAAAAAAACAAAAACTATTTTAGCCAAAAGGCTGCCTTTACTTAAATTTCGGCAAATTCATGATGAAAAGTAAACGAGATTTTTTGTATTTCTTTTGAGATGGCTCTCTTGCTACAAGTTTAGGGTCAAACTATTCAGCTTTTCTAGATTTTATTTGGGACAACTTTCTTACTGATTAAAATAACTTTTTAATATAAAAATTTTAAATTTTATATCATAAAACTATTTTAAAAAGCAATAAAAAATTCATCTCAAACATAATCGTAATCTTGATCAATGATGGTGCTATCTTTGAATTAAACGCTAAAATATTCAGTTAAATAGCATACCTAAGGATCAAACAAACAAATACAAATAAACAACCAAAAATAGAGTATCTTTTCAAAAACAGATCTTTTACATAACCTATATGCAAAAAAAATTCCTTATATACCGATATTAAAACTGAATGGTTAAGAAATGCTTATATTACAGCAATGTAACATCACTAGTTAAGACAAGTCAAATCAAAAGGATTTTCACTGGGAAATAAATCTATCAGCTGAGAGACTTGGGCAAATAAGCTGACATGAAAAGATAACTGCCTTGAAGTCATGCTGTCCTAAATCTTTCTGCTGCGAGGCAAAATAAATTTAGGTTTTAAAATGTTTTATTAAAAAAATCAAACGCCCTGATAAGAAAAACTTAAGATTATGTACTCCAACATGCACAGCTTCATGTTATAACCTTTTTTCCTTTTTTTTAATGCTTCCCAGCTCCAACTTCACTGAACTAAAAATTTCAATTAAAAAAAACATTGGATTATCAATGAAGAAGACTGCTGGGATAAGCTTTATTTGGAACAGCTTTTTTATTAGTTTATAAAATAATTTTCTAGCATAAAAATTTTTTGAACTTAAAATTTTTATACTAAAAAGTTGCGTTAGAAAGCAAGAATAAAGTTATCTCAAATGAAGTCTAAGGCTTCGTTTGGGACGGTTTTTTTATTGCTTCTTGAAGAAATTTATTAGTATAAAATTTAAAATTTTTATACTAGAAAGCTGTTTCAAGAAGCAGTAAAAAAGCAGTCCCAAACGGAGCCTAAATAACTCAAAACTAAAGCTTTGTTGCAGACAGCTTTCATATTGCTTCTTAAAACAGTTTTCTACTATAAAAATTAAGAAAACTATTTTTAGCAAGGCTTGTATCAATTTCTACTAATCATCGAATTTCTGCAAGCTATTAGTCAATTATCGTAGTACAAATTCGGTCAAAATGTGCATAACACATAAGGTTGTGAAAACCGGACCGAAAAATGAACCGGTAGAAGCGATTCACGGCTCGATTGGTTCGACCAATCAAACCGGATGACGTATAAAACTTTTTGAAAATACTTAATTGAAATTTTTATTTTAAAATTATAGTATAAATATTACTTAATATTTTAAAATAATTTATTTAAGCATTAAAAAAATACAAAAGTTGAACAAGTCGGTTCACTAGAATCGTGGCTGATTCAACCGAAATAGTTGAACCAGCAGTTTTGTCCGGTTTTGAATGGTTTGGTGCAGATGCGGTTCTTAGGATAAACCGAACCCGTCATAAGACCGGTTCACATTGAACCAGTTGGACTGAACGGTCATGTCCGATTTTTAAAACATTGATAAAAGATCATACATAAGGAATCAGGAAGCTTGGGTAAAAAAAAAAAAGAGAAAATAGAATAATGCATCTTATCCATTATATATCAAAGAAACAGCTCTATTCAAAACAAAACTAGCTTCCATCCAAAAGCAATGTAAATGAAAATCCCATTGATTGCTTAATGCGCTTCACAGCATAACTCATCCACGGACTACATTAAGCGCTGCTCCCTTCTTTGACATCAAAAGATGAACGCAGAGCCTTCCAGATAGGAACCAGCAATTTAAGAGGAGGTTTTAATTCCTGCAATATCACTTTCAATATTCCTAACAATACCAAGACTTTTCAAAAGCTGAGGGGATACTTTCTGTACCTGGAACACAAGCATGAGCTGATCTTCCCCATGCAGAATCAAGGCGAGGCTCCAGTAGCAGGTGAAAGGAGTCACACACTCATTTAACACTGGCCTTAGAATCTTGCCACCCGGAACAAATCTACGAGCAATTTTCCCACTAATAAGAATAGCAAGGTACCAGAACGTCAATTATCATTATAATTGGAGGGTAAATATCTAAATTTTCAATTATCCAATTCACTTTTGATGGCTGAGATTACTTTCTCAAAATCACAGTGATTTTGAATTTCGAAACTGCTAGAATCAATCCCAGCAATCTAAAGTGGATAAGATGGCAAGGATTGAAGAACTTTATTACCTAATTGTCACGGTGATTGTAGAGGATCCGAATCATTAGAAACTTGAGTTTTTTCTAAGTAGAAATAAGAGAGGAGTATTTTCTTTTTTCTTTTCAAGAAAACTAATAGATCGGTTGAATGAGGGATAAAATATGAAACTAGTTATAAAAATAGAAGGAAGATTTGTGATAAAAGATCAAGAAAATAAGTTGGAGAGAAAGCATTTGAAGGTAAGTAATGGTAAGGATTACTATTATGCATTTCCTACACTAATCTAAATTATTTTTTTGGAAATAATGCATAAACAAAATATTATCAGACAGAGAAAGCTGATGTAGATATAAAATAAGATGAACAAAATTACACAATGCACGAATTTGTGGATCACAAACTCTTAATTTAGAGAAGTTCATTACTTGTTTGAAAATTGAAAATATGAAATAGAACATGTGTAGATGAAAATTAAATAGCCATTTAGTAAAAAAATTTCCCTCTATTTCATCAACAAGAATATCCTGGAACATTATAGTGTGAAATTGGCTAATTATCTAAATAAACACAAAACTACTACACTATCCATATTTATAAAGCCTCACAAACTTTTGCAATATTCATAGTAACAATAGGGGATCATCTCAAATGAGCAATAAATTCGGTGCTAGATGGTTTATATCCTTCATTAATGCCCACCGTAATACCACTTCAAAAATCAAGGATTCAAAGAAGGAAACAAATGTTATTGAAAAAAATGCATTTTTATTTGTTAACCACCTTATCAACAAACATATAAATGTTATTCTCCAAGTGTATTAAAAAATAAATCACCACCATGGATATAACCTTTTCAAAAATTCAATCTTATTTCCCTAAAAATCACATTTAGTTTATGCAAGCCATTTTGCTTAACTTCTAGGCATGTTGCCATTTATATATCCCATTCTCTATGTTCCTTTCACATTAATTCCATTTATTGAATTTATGTCTCTATGTGAGAATCCATATCAAGTTGTACTTGTCTAGCCTATCATACAAATGATTATAGCATAGGATAGGAGCGACTTTCTAATGTATCTACTTATGGAGGTTTCGTTAAGGAGGTTGAAGTTGCAACTTGCAATAAAAAGGCTACGAAAGAAAGTAATCATTCATTCCCATAACAAACTTAAAAGGGAAAAAAGATATCAAAGAAACAACAACAACTAATTATTATTCCACTACGTGGTGTCAGCCATATAAATCATTGTTTCTTCAATATGTCTTATTAAAAGTTAAATTTGTGGGCTCCAAAAATTTGGCCCCGGCCTCCGCCCGCTTTTTTGCTTTTTCTTCGGCGAGGGAGTTTTAACAGAATTAAGTTCCGGGGTAAATTTTGAAAGGCAAATGGGTTTGTAGATAAGACACTACCCAGAGATTTCGCCCTCATTTTGTGAGGATTTTATGATCTAAGTTATGGTTTCCTATAGGCGCAAGCCCCTATAGTTAATTACCCCTCCCGATAACAAGAGAGAACTTTCGATTAAGGCTAGTCGTTGATCAGATACGTAAATAATATATGTTATCTAGCATATAGTAGCAGCATAGGTATTTAGAAATATGTAAAGTTCAAGGTTTGATATTTAAAATTTTGAAATTGCACAATCTTACACTTAAAGTAGATGGTGGGGGAATGGATGATGGACCCGATCAAGATCCCATGGTTCCGTCATCCCGGGTCATCATGTTCCCTAGTCTACTTAGTCAAAGGAGGTAGTCGACCCAACCTGACAGAAGGATCCTTGTTGGCAGCCATGGGTTGCTTCGTCCAAGGGAACCTTGTAGACCTGGGATGAATGTTTGCCTAAGGGGACAAATTTAAATCCACCTTAGCTAACAAAGGGCTTTGTGCCCTATTGATCATATCCTATTGATTCATATCTCAAGGATTTGATGCCACTAAGGAGCGTATTAGTTATGGCCATAACTGGTATTTCGTGGTGCCATTTGGCAGCAAAACCACTCGGTTCAGAGAGCCCCGGATCATAACTGCTTATCCTGTGGTGTCATTTGGCAGCAAAACTGCCGGTTAGAGGACACGTACCACGTCTTTACTGGTAGGAGATTGTTTGAGAATAGATCCTAGTGATATTTTCGACTAGGCATTAGCTTTATGTGAGCTGAAGTTATATTTGAATTTTTCTACCTCGGCAAACTGTTGCGGATAGTGGATAAATTTTACTTTGAGTGGTTGATGATTGAATTTCAATTTTAAATATTTTTTGAATTTTGGATTTTTGAGTATTTGGATGGCACTTTCAAGATATTTGAAATGAACCTCTCCGGTTGGGATTTGCATTCAACACGGCCATCATCGGGGTGTGGGGTCATTCATTGACTAAACCTTGTCGACCCTATCAACTTGCCGATAGAGGATCGGGTTTCGTAGACTTCATGTCTTTGTTTGTGAATTTTTTTTATTAAAGGCCTTGAAGGCCTAATATGAATACAACAACAACAACAACATCAAGCCTTTATCCCACTACGTGGGGTCGGCTACATGAATCCTTTTTCTCCATTGTGTCCTATTAAAAGCCAAATTCTCGTTTAAAGGCCTAATATGAATGTATAAAATAAATATTCCGGTCAACTTCGTAACCGCATATTTATCTGATGATTCGAACCCTACCTACTCCTATTTACCTGCTTATGAGGATCGAATTTCGTAGGCTTCATGCCTTTGTTTGTGAATTCTCTCTATTAAAGGCCTTGAAGGCCTAATATGAATGTACAAAATAAATATTCCGATCAATTTTGTGATAGTATATTTATCCGATGATTCGAACCCTGTCTACTCCTATTTATCTACTTAGGAGAATCGGGTTTCGTAGGTTTTATGCCTTTATTTAGTGAATTCTCTTGATTATAAGCCTTGAATGCCTAATATGAATGTATTAAAACAAATATACCGGTCGTCACAACCGTATATTTGTTTGAAGGTTCAAACCCTGTCGACTTCTATTGATCCGTATAGAAGGATCAGGTTTGAACCCGAATTCACTTATCGACCTGCGCAGCATCCCTATGCATCACGTGTGTACCAATAACACGTTCGTCCGGGCCCATGCGGGTCGAGATTGTATTTTTCCCTTTAGTGTACCTATGTGTATACAAATTACGATGCACATGTAGGGGTATTTTGAAATATTTTAGTTCTGCAGGTAATTGTCATTTGAATACACAACATTTCATTTGAGAGCTTATACACACCTTCTGTCTGCTAGTACGAGTGTCATGGATCCGGTGGTGTGGGGTGTAGATTGTAGATGCCTTCTGTCTGCTCATATAAGCATTGCAGATCCTGTGGCGTGTTGTAGCAGCTTCTAGATTGAGTTATTTGCTGCTGTGTACAGGTAGACTGTCGTACACTACTTATTTTCTGTAGGTGGATTGTACTGCACTAACGAATCTCCTACTTTATGTTTGTTGATGCTTGCATTCATTGTAGTCCTTAGGCATTCGTTCGCAGATAGTGTGTAATATTCATAGCGGGGCTCCAGCAGAAGCTCATGGGAGCTTGTATCTGTCGTATTCTTTATGCTTTTTATTGTGGTATTTGGCTCATATAGTACATTCGCCACTGCTACAAGTAGGCAGGTAAATGAATTCCTTCACAGGCTAAAATTGAATACATGATACTGCATTTACTGAAGTCTTTCTCATCTACCCATAAGTGGCATGTGGCACATATATCTGTCTTCGTAGAGAGCTTGTATGTATTGCAGATCTTTTAGCACTGCTTGCATGTATTCATACTTATAATGTTCCTTATGTGTTTTGCTCACTTTGCCACTTTCTTGCTTGTGTGTAAGTTATAGCAAACATTACAAATCATTCGTCCTCCTTAGAAATAACTTGTAGCATGCATGGTGAACTTGCATTATCAATATTTGCTTGCCATCAACTATATATACTTTTCAATTTCCATTACCTGTAAGCACATCGTCACCTTTCTCACAATTTCTATTGATTGTTGCTTTTGGGTGAGATATGAGAATCTCAATCATCATAAGTTATTGTTCACAGGAAATTGTTGTACACCATTTAAATGTGTTTGTAGCATGTTTTTCACATCACTTATTCATAAGTGGTACCTCACATCCTTCACTTGTTTCGATTGAAGAATTATCACATTCATTTGTACACCAATCTCTATTGTCCATAAAAGATTCATCCTCTATAAAGTACTACCAGTACTGTTGTTTGTAGGTAGATTTAGCTCATTCACTTTGTGTGTTAACATGTTGGATGGATTGTGCTCATCATACATTGTCAATACTTGCACCACTTACTATGACCATATCTGCTCATTTGTAAGCATGATTTGAGATGGATATTGTAAATTTTATATCATCGTACAAAAATTCCATGTCAAGTTTGAAATAAATTTATGCATAAGTCTTTACTTGTTTGCATGACATTTGAATGAGTACTTTACCCTTAAATTAAAGTGACAACTCGTTATCATTCCATTGGGGCTTTGATTTCATCATTCAAATCAATTTCTACTTGATTTTGAATCAAATGAGATTCAAGGTACAAGTTCAAGTTTGAGTCAAATGTGTTCAATCAAGTCCAATAAAATAAATCCTTCATGATTGTCCAAATTTTGCTCATTTATTTGAATTTGAGTTTAATTTATTTTATGTTCAAACTCATCCAATTTAAAGTCCATTTTCGTTCAGTTAGCAAGTTCAGTTCAAATCAGGGCCCCCTTTGGTCCTTAGAGTTCAATCAAGTTCATTGTTCAACTCATTCGAGTTCAAATAGTCCCCTGCTATCTTGTAGAGTTCAAGTATAATTCGATGTGCAAGTTCAAATTTCTCTTGCTTGAGTTTTGCTTAAGCCATTTGCTTAGTTATTCAAGTTTGAATTTAGTTCAATTGATATCCAAATCAGTGTCCAAATAAAGCTCCATATTGTTCCAAGTTCTTGTCTTTTTTCGGACAAAATTTTGGCAGCCTCCCAACGTCTCCCCCATTTAGGGGAAAAACCAAGAGGCAGCCTTCCCCTCGACGCTACGTGAGCGCTTCAGGTAGGTGTCAAAATGACACCGCGGTTGCAATTTTTTTATTTTATCTCCGCCCATTACATGAGCGTTTAAGGGTTTCGATCACATTTTGAAAGAGTAAAATTTATTTCCCCCCTCTGCACTACATGAGCGTTTGGAGGTACTTATAATTATTTTTTTTAAATCCCCCTCGCCACAAGCACCGTGCTGGTTTCCCTCGCTACTACGCTACGTGAGCGCGTAGGGGGTTTGCCGGCTCGTCGCTAGTATTGAAGAAGAATTTTTAAGTCGTCACAAGCGCCACGCCGGTTTCCCTCCCAACTACGCTAAGTGAGCGCGTAGGGAGTTTACTGGCCCGTTGCAAGCCACGAGAGAAGAATTTTTTTTTTAATAATAACAATATTATTATTATTCATAATAATATTACTAATGATAGTATTATTATTATTTATAATAATATTATTAAAATAATAGAAACTATACTATTATTATGATAATAATAATATTAACATTAATATTAATATTAATGTTAAAATGCATTTAGCATCAAAACATTGAAGTGAGGGAGAGAGAGAGACCCTTGATTAAGCTAGGGGTTGAGTTGGGTTGAGTGAGTGGGCTAAGTTGGAGTGAATTGGGCTGAGTGGGTTGAGTTGGAGTGAGTGGGCTATGGGTTTTATTTGAGTTAGGGATCGGTTGGGTATATGAGAATAGGGAGATCGGGTGGAGGCTTTGGCTCGGTTCGGGTATGAAGTCTAGGGCAGAGGAGATCAGGAGGCTTGTGGATGGAGCTCGATCGGAGGAGTGAGGTAAGGGTTTGATCTCTCTCTCTCTCTCTCTCTCCTCTCTGAGATCGGGATCGGGCTTGACGGGAAGAGGCGACGGAAGGTGGAGAGGGAGATACGATTGTGGCTTCGGGTTTGCGATCGTGTGGGGGGAACCAGCGGGAATGAATGAGAGCATCGCTCTCATTTTAAAGGGCACGAAGGGTAGCGATCGAAGCTATCATCGCAGGATTCGCGGGGAAGCGATGCAAACGGCGCCAAATCGGCGCGATTTCGGCAAGATTTTGAGGATCCGACATATATGAGGTTTATACGTTAGATTTCTTATTTCTTTCCTTTTTTTGTTCTTTACTTAGAGGTTAACAAAATTCTAATTTAAATCTAATAAAAAAATCATTTTTAATACTTTCTAACTAATTTTTTAGTTCTACCTCTACCTTTCTTCATATATGCCAAATATAATACATCAAGTCCCCTAAAAAGGTCATCGGAAGGCCAACATTTTATGAGACCAAACCATCTAAGCCGACTCTTTCTAGTCTTATCTATCATTGGGACTACTCCAACCTTATCACGTATATACTTGTTTCGCATTTTGTTTTTAAGTGTAAAGCCACTCATCGACCTAAGCATCCTTATCTCTGCAATACTTACCTTAATTCTATGCTTCTCTTTTAATGGCCAATATTCTACACCATAAAATAATGCATGTCTCACCACCATCATATAAAATTTTCCACTAAGTTTAATGGATACTTTTCTATCACAAAACAGATCTGATGAATTCCTCTACTTCAATCATCCAACTTAAATTCTACTAATAATATCCTCATATATTTCACAATTGCTTTGAAGAATAGATCCCATGATATCTTAAATGTGCACTTTTTTAATGTTTTGATCATCCAATACCACAATCCCACCACTACATCAATTATGACAAAAATTATACTCCTTACATTTGGTGTAAGAAACAAAGGTATCAAGCATACAATTAAAATATCTTACAAGATATGCTCCAACAATGAGAGGAGCAATGAATTGATCGAGCAGTATATGCATATGAAGCATGCTGAAAGATCATAGACACCTCATATTATTGGAAATGAGTTAGGTTTTCACCACCAAAAAAAATGACACTGGACAATATCAATAATGAGAATTCATTAATTGCTATAAATCAAAGACAGCATTCAACCGAAAGTTAATCATTTAAGATCAAATTTACCATGAAAGAAAAAAAAGATAACAGATGGAATTGCAGAATGAGAATACAAAACTATGGCAATCATAACAGGTACTAGTATTAAAAAACAAGTGGGAAAATAAAACACTTAACAGCACAAGGGCATGTTTCAATGTCAAACAAATTTCTCGAAGCAAAACTTTCTAAGATATCATACCTCCAATAATGAGTTTCAAGTTGCAACCCAAATTCTGGTAAAATCACTAATGACTCTGCATGGCAAGGGGATGAGAAAAAAAAGTGAATTTTACTAATGATGGAGTCTAAAGCTTCTAGAATAAGCTGTAAATGTCTAAAGCATCACCCATCAAATTATGGAAAGCACTCAAAATAAAGAATAAAGTTCACAATTATTTAAGTAGGACACCAGCTAGCACTAGTAATAATCCTAAAGTGAAAAGCTACGTTTTCCTTGCATTCACGACAACTTCAATGCAGTGAGATGCAACAACACCTAACCAAGATGATGTCCCTCAGGCAATTTTAAGTACTCTGTGTGCCTAAAAAATGTGTCTAATGCAATGAGGTCCAAGTTCACAGCACTGTTAAGTCTATTGATGCATCAAAAAAGCAACAAGAATCAGGCCAATTCATTGGTGAACCAACCAGCTTGGATTGTAATGTCTGAGCATAATGATTAATATTCAAAAAAAGAAATAAGATATAGCTGAATTTATAAAGTAGCACCAAAACATAGACACTTAAATCTCACCTTTTTTAACAGGCTTATATTGCATAAATTTGGCAAACAAAATAATCACAGTAATCTTCCAGATAGAACTACTGCAGAGTTTATCCTGTTAGTAACGATTCATAAAATATTTCAATTCACTGAATTTGTAACAATATAAAACGTTAAGAGTCACCATGAGCAAGAAAAAACATGCATTCCTTCTGAAATCATAATGAATTACTTCAACTTCTAAACTATAATAGTTATGAAATCCTATTTGCCACCTGAAAAACACATTAGTCTCTCGGGATATATTTGATGTTCTTTTGCACATACGAATGGGCTCATCACATAAAAATTTTCTCTTTAAAAAGAATAGAAGGTATATCAACAATGTAAAGTGGTATTTTAAAAACCATGGTGTCTACACAGAAAGTGGTACTTCATCAAATAATACATAAACACGCGACATGTTCATTTCTGTCATGGTTTAGCAGACTAACGTAGGCCAAATACTGGATATCTGCAAATTACCAGAGTTCTTTATGTGATTAGTTAAGTTGCAAATCAAAAATGATCATTCACCAAATGCATTACTCGAAAAGATAAAATTGTAGAAAAATAAAAAGAAAAAGATAACATTGTAGAAACATAAAGAGAATATTTTTGCAACGCAAGGCAATTCATAGAAAAGCTTAAAGAAAAGGAAATTAACTGAAAGTAAACTAATGTCAGATGTTACCAAGCCAAACTAATACAAGAAATCAGTGTAGTATTTGTTATACCGAGAAAGAATAGTCAGCAAATTTGCAAAGCTATTTCACTGATGGCACCTACAATTTATAGCGATATATTCGTCTTTTAATGAAGCAAACATGGCATGTCAAGACAAAGCAATAAAATGTGAAGATGATTAACGCCATATAGCATAAATAACAACATATATGAAAGCAACCATAATCTCATCGCAATATCACCGACCACAAAGGTAAGCAGTTTTATATCCTTACAGTTATCACAAATTTCATAAATAATTTATTGAGCATTAGGATCCAACTTATCATAAACAAAACTATAACCCAACTGAAATCAAAGAAAAAAAAAAGACTTCAACAGAACAATTTCTGAAATATTGAACTGGTGTTATAAATCAACGTGTCATTTTCATATCAAATAATTAGAATTTCAGGGAGGTAAGGATTTTAATTTACAAAACTCTCAATCAAGGTAAAAGGGCAAAAATGCAGCAAGAAGAAAGTTTTCATGATAATGCTTCAAGTAAATTATGATTTAAACTACTGTAGCTGTCCACTCATCACACGGCTCCAATTAAATCAATAAAGAAAGTTCAATTAGTTTATGACAACGGCAAGGCGATCATAAAAAAACACTGCATCAATATTAAGAAAAAAGAGCTCTTATGTATCTTCACTTATAAATAAAATAAACACAATTGTCCCTTCTATATAGAAAGCACAAGCTAAACAAAGATTACAACACATCATCATCAAGCCTTTATCCCACTACGTGAGGATGACACAGCATGAATCCTTCTCCATTGTGTCCCATTAAGAGTCAAATTCACATTTAAATCTAATAAAGAAATATCATTTCTAATGCTTTATAACCAAATCATTTTAGGCTTACCTCTACCTTTCTTAACATAGGCTAGATCTAATACATCAATGTTCCTAACCGTGTCATCGGAAGGCCGCCATTTTATGTGACAATTATGCAACCAAACCATCTAAAGGTGTCACGACTTGGCCCGGAGGCTCGAATTAACGAGGCAGTAATAGACGGTCGACTAGATTTTCAATTAATAACTAACTATTCTAATAAGCATAAAGAGCCACTAAAATCTCAAATTTGAAACAAATTAAAATTAAATCATTTAAATAAATCACAGCTCAGCGAGTAAAACATGCTTATCAATTACAATAACCCAAGGTAATTGGAACAATATGCATGAGCATTTTGATTGATATCATAAAGTAATTCCATTTAAATTTATTACATTTTAAGAATTTTCATATTATGCATATACAGTATATTTATCTATATCTTTCTTCTTTCTTATAATTAGTACAACCATCACAGGAGCCACCATCTAATTTAGTACTAATGAAAATACTCATTTTTCATTTTCTCCTTTTCCATAACCTTTTTTATTTATGTGCACAGGTAAATTGCATCCCCAGCCAATACCATAAGGGAGTGGACTCCATCAGTCAACATGCACATACAAGCATTTCTATATAATCTTTCATTCATTTATCATTCAATAATTTTGCATATACTAAATAATCATACTAACTATAAAATAATTTAATACGATCATTCAAATAGAAATACTATAATCTTACAATAACCATTAAGTAGCCAATATTAAGTAATTCAATGAACTTAAATTAAATTCAATGAACTTGAATAAAAGAAAACAAAATCAACAACAACAACAACAACATCAAGCCTTTATCCCACTACGTGGGGTCGGCTACATGAATCCTTTTTCTCCATTGTGTTCTATTAAAAGTCAAATTCTCATTTAAACCTAATAAAGAAAGGTCATTCCTAATATTTTCTAACCAAGTCTTTTTAGGTCTACCCCTACCTTTCTTAACATAAGTCAAATCTAATACCTCTACTCTCCTAACCGGGTCATCACAAGGCCGCCGTTTTATGTGACCAAACCATCTAAGACGACTCCCAATACCATAAGGGAGTGGACTCCATCAGTCAAAAGCACATACAAGCATTTCTATATAATCTTTCATTCATTTATCATTCAAATAATTTTTGCATATACCTAAATAATCATAACTAACATATAAAATAATTAATACGATCATTCAAATAGAAATACTATAATCTTACAATAACCATTAAGTAGCCAATATTAATTAATTCAATGAACTTAAATTAAATTCAATGAACTTGAATAAAAGAAAACAAACATTACTATAAAATAAAAGCATGAGTACTCACTTTGATTAGGATTGCTTGCTCTTAATGTCTTTGCTCTTTCTTCAATAAAATGACACATATAATAATACATGATTTCATAAGGTTATTTTGACTTATATATATCATATCTATCTCTAATTAATTATTAATTAATACCTCAATAGTTCTATATTTTAATAAAGAGAAATTTGTTATCCTCCTTTTAACAATTATGTATATGAACTATGATTTAATTTTAATTAAATTATAATATTTCCTATTTAATAACTTCTCATTTAAACATTAACCCTATCATCTTTAATAATTTAAATTTGTTCTCCTTTAAATTCTCATTGAAAATATGAATTTATTTATAAAATTTTATTAATTAATAAATTCCTTGCTTTAACTAATTAGTTATTCTCATTTAGATGATATATAACTAGTATCTCCAAATCCATTTCAAAATTAATAATTTAATTGAAATCTCTCAAAGATGCACTTTCTCCATTTATTTGCAATTATATCTATATAGTTCAATTTGATTATATTCTATAGTTTTAAATTTAATATAAAATGAAATTTTTCTTCTTTCCAAAATACTTATATTTATCTCTATAAATTATTTATTCTTCTCAATTAGGTTCATACTAATTATTTATTATATTTCTTAAATAAATTAAAGAATATAATAACATTAATTATTTAAATCTAAACTTTTAGATGAAATTTTAATAAATAACAAACTTACCTCTTTCTTTTTCCTCCAAGTCCTAGCCCGTCAGTTTGCTTCTCTCTCTCTCTCTCTCTCTTCTCTCTCTTCCTCTCTCTCTCTCTCTCATCTCTCTCTCGTCTTATAGGAATAAGCTCTATGAATCCAGTTACAGACAAAAGCTCCTGCGCT